TCAACTTCTATTCTCTTTATTTCTTTTAACATCTTCAGGGAAAGTTGTGCTGCCCATATAATTATGGAGATGTGTCCTTTTTCTAGAATCTGATGAATCTAGATGCAGAAATACGCCTAAAGAAAACTGGCTTCACCCTTCAGTTACTAATGTGTCATTGGCCTTCAGCTACGGTGGACCTACCCCCTTCCCCATACTGAAATTTTTGTCTAGCTTGAGCCTTGTAGGTCTTGTGCATGCTGTCATAACTGCTGAGAGTTTACTTTCACAACAATCCCTCTGTGTCTAGAAAACCCTTTTTTGTGGTCACTGACTACTTCTTACAGTTACTTTCAATCACTTTTTATTCTGAACTTTACAATGTTTGTCTACCTGGAAGGGACACGAGTGCCACAAGAAAAGCAACAGAGCCAACTAACCAGAGTCCACAGGGGTTTGCAGAGACTGAAGCATCCAAGAACCACTAAGCATGAACTGGACCTAGGCTTCCTACAATGATATAGCAGATGGGCAGCTTAGGCTTCAAGTGGATATTCTAGTTAATGAAACTGGGGACTGCATTGGACATAGACTCACTTGTTTAGACTTTAAATCACTTTCCCCTGGCAGGACTGCCTTGACAGGCCATGGGGAAGAGGACACATTCAGTCTTGAGGCAACTTGATGAGCTGGGGTGGATGGGAAAGGGAGCTCCCCTTTTCTGAAGAAAAGGGGATAGGGAGGGAAGAGAGAGAGGGTAGGGCAGGGAGGAGAGGAGGAAAGGGGCTACAAGGCTGTAAAGTGAATAAAATAAATCAATGAGAAATAAAACAATTTGTTATCTATAGGCAGATACCAAGGAAATTTCTGATTTTAAGACAATGGTAATAATTTGCTATGTAAATGGATATCTATGGATATATGCTTTTTTTCTTCTTGAGTAAAATTAGGAAGGAAAAAAATAAATGTAATGTACCTCATAAATAGAAATAAATGCAATATACTATATAAATAAACTGAAGAACAAAAATCTAGTGATTATCTCCTTAGATAGAGAAAAGCCCTTTGACAAAATCCAACATACTTTCTTGAGAAAAGGCCTAGAGAATCTAGAAATACAGGAGAAACATCTGTACCTAAGAAAGGCAATATATAGACAGCAAGGACACAGCCAGCATCATCCCAAACAGAGGCAAACAACAACAAAAAGCACAACAACAACAAAAGAAAACCAACCAACCAATCAAAAAAAAAAAAAAAAAACCCAAAACATTTCCATACCCACACTCCTCCATCCCAATCAATGTCTTAGAGCAATAAAACAAGTGAAAGAGATAAAGGGGCAGTAAATATGAAAAGATAAAGTATCCTTATTTATAGATGATAAAATTCTATATAAAAAATACCCTAAAGACTACTCCAGAAATCTTCTCTAATCAATAAACATTCTTGACAAAGTAAGAGGACACAAAATTAACACACAAAAACCAGCAGCCTTCCTAAGAACAAAAGACAAATAAAATGAGAAAGGTATCAGGCAAACAATTCCATTCACAACATCCTCCATAACAAACAAAGAAAACAAGCCTTGGAATAAATCTAAGAAAGTGAAAGACTTGCACAATAAAAACTTTAAGACACTGAAAAACAAAATAGAAGGTACTATTAGAAGGGGTGACAGAAAGCCACCCCTCACAAATGTTCACTGATTGGTAGAATTAATATTGCTTGAAAATGGCCATCCTACCAAAAGTATTCTACCAATACAATGTAGTCTCCATCAAAACTCCAACACAATTCTTCACAGAAATTGAAGAATAATTTTAAATTCCAAATGGAAGCTCAGAATAACCAAAGTAACTAAAACAGTTTTGAACAACAAAGAAGTACTGGAGAATGTGTCAACACCTCAGATTTTAAGGTATAATACTGAGCTATCATGATAAAAATAGCATGGCACTACCATAAAAACAGATACACTGATACGAAACTAAGGCCCCACATAGAACCTCACAATCCTTACAGACACCCAACTTTTGACCAAGAGGCCAACAACATACTTGGGAAAAGACACGCTCAAGAAATGCTGCTGGTCAAACTGGTGACATGTAAGCCAAACTAGTTCCTTATAACTCCTCCTATACCAAAATGAACTTGAAATGGAATCATAGACCTCAACATAAGACCTGATAGATATCCTCAATCTGATAGACGAGAGAGAGTAGAGAAGGTGCTTATGCTTTATAGGCACAGGAAAGGCCTTTCTGAATGGGATATTGATAGCACATTAATACTAACAAGTAAATGGGACCTCATGAAGCTAAAAGGCATTTTCACAGCAAAGCACACTAGGGAAGATAGCCTAGACAATGGGGGAAAAAGCTTTATCATCTATACATCTGACAGATGTTTGTAACTAGAATATGAAAAGAACTCAAAATAGTAAACATTTAAAAACAACAACAACAACAAAATATGTGGCATGAACCTAAACAGAATGTTCTGAAAAGAGGGACTACTAATGGCTGAGACACATTTTTTTTTAATGTTCAGCATTCTTATCCATCAGAGAAATGCAAATAAAATTACTTTGAGATTCCACCTTAGAGTGGAAACAAAATGGCTAAAATGTAAAAAAACAAAAAAAGCAAGAAAGCAACAACAAATGCTGATGTGGACATAGAGAAAGAGGAATGTAATTTACTGCTGGTGGGAGTATAGACTGGTGTAACCATTAGGGAAATCAGGGTGGAGAATACTTAAAATACTTAAAATAGATCTCCACAGGACATAGCTTTTCCACTATCCGGACAAAGGCCCAAAGCCCTCTGCATCCTACTATAGAGATGCCTGATGATCAATGTTTCTCTTCTTACAATAGCCAGAAAATTGAAACAACTTACATGCCCACCAACTGATGAATGGAGGCTAAAAAAGGAAGAATATTTATACTCTGGAATTTTATTCAAAAAGTCATGAAATTTGCAAGGAAGTTTATAAAATAGGGAAATATAGAATTCTGAGTAAGGTAACCCCAGACCCAGAAAGATAAACACTCATGTTTTCCCTTATTTGTGGATGCTAACTTTGAATCTTCAGATGTATGTATTTATTTGGAACAACCATACATATGAGGAAATTAGTGTGAGGGGGGCTTTCAAGGTAGACTATATAGAATATGGTTGCATAAAGGGTTGACACTTAATAAAGACCTTTTTAAAGTCATATGAAAACCTACAAATCTAAAAGCTACTATGTTTATGTAGTAACACAGTTAATATGGTGTTACACTATTATGGGCAAGATGATGTCTCCATTTGTGAGACAGATGTCACTATATCCTGCTGAGTACCAACTTATGGTCCTCAAGATCTTGAGCAATAGGCATAATTTTTATCATTCATGATATACAAGTGAGAAACAATGACCTGTGCAGTTTCCATTTTCAGCTCCCACAGCCATTTCTCTTTTAGGCTGGACACACTATGTTTGTTTCAGGTAATGGGCTGGTGAATGGAAGGGATATAATAGATTCTATTCATTGGCTTATTTCTCTGGACTTCCACCCTTTCCTACTTGTGGCTGGAAGTAAATCTGCAAAGCCCGAGGGTGAGATAGGAAAGAAACAAATCCTTGTGTCCTTTCACCACTACATAGCTGAGTATATGGGTGGAAGGAGGAAAAGCACACAAACCTACTTCACAATATAGGGAAGGGAAACAGAAATTAGCCTTGGATATTAGGCTTTGTTATTTTCTTAATAAAAAGTATTAATAAACTTTGGAAAGCCACTTTTGGTGAAAACTAATGTTTCTAAAGATATAAAAACGTCTTGACAAATGAAAAGCATAAAAAAACAACTGCTAACCCACTGAATCAAAAAACAAGGACATAGGAAATTCCTTAGCTACTGGTACTTGCCAGTCACTATTTTCTAATACATAGTAGTAAACAAATCCACAAGCATGAGTTGTGTAGACTCTTCAAAAGAAAAAAATATGCTTGGGAACATACGAAGAGCCCAGTGTTACAGATATCATCTATTCAAATTAGTAAAAGCTTGTCTATAACAATAAGGACAAAAGATTAATGACAGACTGTAATGTCCAGAGCTGCAGGGACAGTCTTAATGAAATGAATACAGCAAGGCTTGCTGGACTAAGTAAATTAGCATAATAGATCAAGTAAGTACTGAGACACAAACAGCTGACTTTCTACTTCACTTTTCCAGGAACATGAACTCCAGAGCTTTCCGAACAGCACACATCATAAAACAAAACATAAATCATCAATACATTTCTTGAAATATAAGAGAAAAAAAATGTGGATAAGAAAAAACTGGGCCTTCCTAGTAAAAGAGTGATTCTGCTTATCAGTGACACACTAGGAAAAGGCAGAACTTTGTGACCTTGAAGAAAAATACTTATGGATTTCCTCTTAGACACACAATCTAGATTTAACCAGATACACAAGCTCATGCTTATTTAATATGAAAGCAGAAAAGGTTTCTTTTTTTTTTTTTAATATATTAATTAGTTTATTTACTTTGTATCTCGACTGTAGCCCCCTCCCTCATTCCCTCCCAATCCCATCCTCCTTCCCTCATCTCCTCCACGGGGAAAGGCAGGAAGAATGAGCATGTGTGAAAATAGGTTTATTATTTAAGTTAAAAAAAAAAGTCAGGAAAGGTGGCATATACTTGTAATCCCAGCAAGGGCAAGAAGACTGTGACCAGCTCAAGGTGAGCCTGTGATGTAGTATAAGACCCATACTAAAAACGAAATAAAAATCATGATAATAGTTTAGGAGCTTGAATCACAACAGTCTCAAAGAATGAATCTCAAAGTAATTCCAATTTCTTCTATTAAAGCTGTCCCAATATAGCAGATGTCCACAGCCAAACATATTTGTGTAAGACAAGGTATACTGAAAACTTACCTATGTATGCATGGACTTTACTTACAAAGGCCACATCCATGGTTCCCAAGTATTGATTAAAAAGAATCAAGGAGCAAGACCACTTACTGGTACTAAAGGCTTTACTGTAATAAACCAAATATATTTACAATTTATACAAATGTTGAATCAACAAAAATAAAAAAAGAAAAAAAAAATCACAAGATGCAAAACCAAGAAACAAGCTCATTGAAGACACCACTGCTCTACAAAGGACTCAACGTGAAGCGAACTGCAAGGAACAGAAAGGTAAGCTCACAATTGGGCAAGTCATGACCGACATCAGCAGCTTGCTCCTCTATCCCACACCTATGGCCTCTGTGTGGTACCCAAATGTAGACAGGTGACTGTCTATTGATAAACTTGTTGCCTTCTCTTTGTAGATTCAAAGCAGTTCTGTGTCAAAGTTTAGAAATAGGTTCTTCATTTGTTTTTTGTTGTTGTTTTGTGTTTTAAATTATAACTTTTCTATTTCTACAAATTCCAAACATTTGGCCCAATTCAACTGTAAATATGAAGCCATAGTGTTTTCAGTAGATGACCTCATAAACGGTAGCCTTTTTGTCCCCTGAGCCAGTGACTATGTATTTATCATCCACAGAGATGTCACAGCTAAGCACTGATGAAGATTCTTTGGACTGTAAGAAAAAAAAAATAGGAGGAGAATATTTAATGTGTTCCATTTCTGAGGCCACCTCATTATTGTTTCAAAGGCTATAAGGCAGGTTCTTCCATACCTGGAATATGCTGGCTCCATACGGTGTCCGCCAGGCATTGAGGAGGTTATCTTTTCCAGTACTCACAAACCACTTGCCTAGAATTAGCAAAGGCACATGTAATTTCAGTGCAATTAAAGTTCCACCATTGAAATTAATTAAAAAGAGCACTATTTTTCGTGTATGTGTGTGTGTGTGTGTGTGTGTGTGTGTGTATGAAGGCTAGGAAACATGAAGGTGAGAGGATAGCTTGTTGAGACAGAATCTCTATATTACTGTTTCTATTGTACCCTCTGAGCTTCTAGGCCTGTCTCCTATCTCTGCCGCTTATCACACTATAGGAGTGCTGGGATTATATATAATTCCTATCTCATCTAGCTTTTAACATAGGTTTCAAAGACTGAGCTCAAGTCATTGGTCATAAGTGCTTTTTCTTCCCATGTAATTACCTAGCTAGCCCCAAAGAGAACATTTCTAACATATCGACTACCATGTTCAAAGGGTTGCTCTATAATCCAAGCAAGTTTCAAATCCTTGATACCATCATGTTTATAATCAAAGAAGTTGTCAGGGGGCTAGGGAGATGGATTACTGAGTAGATAAACCTGTATAAGCAGGTCCACGAGTTCAGATTTCTAGCATGTGGCCCTGTATACTTGGAATCCAAGCCTCAGGGACAAGTGGGGGAAAGGCATAGTACAGCTAGTCCCTGGGCATTTGCTGGCCATCTAGTCTAGACAAAAGACAAGCTCCAAGTTTAGTGAGAACTCTGCCTCAAAACAAGATGGTGAGTGGGGGGAGGATAAATGATAAAGACCACTGGCTTCCATACCCACCTGTGCTTATTTAAAAATGTGATGTGTGCTAGTTCACTGAGTCATTCAATACATGGCTCAGCATCATAGACATTTTCAGTATTATGGAAACAATGAGAGCAAAACAACTAATGTTCAACTAATGTTCAATGTAAAATGTTTTCAGATGCATATAGAATGTGCAATTAGTGTCAGCCACACATGCACCCTTATAGCCAATGAACAAATATGTGACCATAGAAAGCACAAAGACAGTTTCCACATGGACTTTTTCCTTCTCTGTTCTCATTAGAGAGAAAAAGAGTCTGAGTGCAGCGAAACATTCTTCGGACCCTGGTTGCTTATTATAATCAATACATGATATCTACGGTTGCGCTATTCTAAATAGAATTACCTCCCACACTTCAGAGCATGAACAATTACTCCCCAACCCTACCACAATGCAAGTGTGCACCCAAAGCTTATTTGAGTGCCTGTTGACTTTTCTCAAATTAACAAAGCAGGCTGAAACAGACATTACTCTGCAATAAGGGGTCATAGAATTACTGCATCCAGCTGTAAGGAAAGGCATCTCCCCCCCTCCCCACCAAATTACCATTTCTAACCATATTTATTTAAAGTATTTTCCCATTTAGGCCATTGACAGGCTTATAGCCAAACTTACCACAATAAGCAAATTTTAGGGACAGCACGCAGCTCTCATGGAGGTGTAACTGGTACTTGTCAGGCTTGTTCACATGCAGAACTTCCACATTGCTGCTTTCCATGCCCACAGCAAGCCACTCCCCAGTTGGACAGTATCCCAAGGAGAAAATCTGTTATAAGTAGGACAAGATCACTGATGATTTTACCCAATAAATCAAGGAGGAGTTGCAAAGGGTAGCAAAAGGGGTTTAATCAACCAAACCCAGACGGGGAAGGGGATGAGATGAAACCCTGTCTAGAACCCTTTTATTGAACAAATGGGAAACTAAATAGCTCCATCCATGCTATAAAATAAGAAATTATCTTTAAGAATAGCAGGGAAAGTCATCATTAAGAAACACTAGCTGAAATATTTGTGTAAGAAATACAATGTATAGGATCTATAATCCAGTGTTTGGAGTGAGGATGGTAGAACAAAGACTGGCCAGGTGCTGATAATTGCTTATGGCTAGGCAATATAACTCTCATGTAGGGTTGCATATGTTTGACATTTACAAATATTTGAAATGTTCTTAAGTTTAAAACTGGTGACCAAAATTAACATCCTGCATATTCCACACAAGGGTAAAACAGGAAATATTATAAAACTAAAACCAATAGTCATCTAAAATTCGTATATGTGATAGTTGACACAATCGAGAATTATCTGGGAAGAGTTTCAGTGAAGAACTGCCTGGATGTGGTCAGCCTGTGAAAAATTTTCTTAGTTGGATTATTTGAGGTGGGAAGATACAACCCATGTAGACACATGTACATAATCAATTCACAGGATGGGCCATGGACTGAATAAGAAGGACACAGAGAGTGAGTGCTCAAACCTGTATTCAGTATTCCCATCCTCTTTGATCCTTGACTATGGATGCAAAGTGACCACCTCTCCTAAGTTCCTGCCACTGTGACTTTCTAACAACAATGGACTGTAGCCTGGAATGTTTATCTAAAAGAAACCCTTTTTCTTCTAAGCTATTTTTGTCATGGAATTTTATCAGAGCAACAGAAATGAAACTAAAACAGTATATATGGTCGTTTTCACCATTTTTACACCATTTTTATTATTTATTTTTATTTTATTATTATTTTTATTATTATTACATGGGAAGGAAAGAAGGAGGGAAAGGAGGAAGGGAGGGAGAGAGGAAAGGAAGAAGTGCTGAATAATAAACAAAAGAACAACTCTACCGTGAGGAAGACACCAGAAAATGGCAAGCACTGCCTTTGTCAAGTAAGTCTAGATTTAGACATGGGACATTTGACTACTTCTCCAAAAGTTGCTAGGTTTACATACTATCTTAAAACTCCAGTCAGTCATAGCAGTATATTCCTTTAATCTTAGTACTCTGGGGCTGAAGTAGTAGGACTGACTTTCATTTGAGGCAAGCATTCTGAACTAAGCTACAGAATGAGACCCTAGCCTCAAAAAAAACTTCTACAGATCTAGTTGGCCATGATATTTTTTTTTTTTACTTAAAAACACTTTTATACAATATATTTTGATCATGTTTTCCAGCCCTTGATCCTCAAAGATCCTCCCCACCTCCCTAATCACCCACCTCTCTCTCTAAAATACACACAAACACAAACAAAACAATATAAATACAAACAAGCAAAATACTAATAAGACAAAAAGATGACCAAGCACTCACCTGTGAAGTGAAGTCATGCTGTTGCAGCTGCCGCCCTTCTCTCAGGTCCCAGGACCTCACAGTGTTGTCCAAACCGCCTGTCCAGAGCTTGGTGCCATCATTAGAAATGTCAATACAGCTGGCTCCATCTGTGTGGCCCTGGAATTGCCTGATAAAACCAACCAGACTGAATAATGATTTCCTGCCAGAGCTCAAGGTAAACAGGTTGTGTTGTTAGTTTTGGACTCACTGTGTGTCATCTCAATGTCTGTTGGTGTGCAATATCAAACTAACCTTCCCCTGAGGAGCACAGGAAACAGCCCCTGCAGGTTCTGTTTCTTTTTTCAAGATCCAAGGCCTAGAAATGAGATGGCTTTGCAGGCTGCTGCCAGAAGTCAGGTATGCTATGGACTCTGATAAACAGACCCAGTGAAACTCTTACCAGGTCTGGAAAAGAGTTTAAGTACTGAGAGACAATAAAGATAAACACACAAAACCCAATTTTCCTTAAGAAAAGATAAAGACCTGTCCTTCAGTAGCAAAGGCTTGAACCCACAAAAAGGAAAAGGCTCATTCCCAGAACACACTCATTTAGAAGAGAACTGAACAGCAGTGCCCTTCCTGCCAGCACAGCATAACCTCTCCTGTGTACTCAGCTTTGCCCTTTTGTATCAGAAAGTGCCTTGCATTAGGAAATGTGGGCTCCCAAAGACCAAGGGTCAAGCAGGTCTCCTGACCTTAGAGGTGGTAGGTAGAGACAAAGAAAAGGACTGAAGAGGACAGACGATTGCCAGACCCCATCCCCAGGGCAAGGCTTTCTTTACAGGGGACCTTTCATGCAACATTCAAACAGCATCCAAAATCAACTGTGTGGCAGGGATTTCTGACCTGGAAGGACATGAGTCAACAAGTCAAACTGGCAGTGGAGAGAGCAACAGAGCACAGAGTGGCCTGGGGATGGCAAATGGGGAGGGTACATGCAGTGACTCTCTCAAACATGAGTCTACATGCTGAGCATGCATTGGTCAGGGCATATCAGAGAGGTCAGGACCCACCTGCAGAACCAGAAAAGCCCCAGCATAGAACTGCTTAGGAATTTCAATGGCAAGAAGGTCCTGTCTTTCTCTATGCCCCCCATACCTTATTGCCACAGCGCCAAGCATAGATTTTAAAAGTGCAAGGGAAGGAAAAATCACCATTGCTGCCCTGAATTCTTAGCCAAGATATGAGCCCGAAAACTTTCTCTCACAAGCAAATCTCTACTTCAGATCCTGCCCCTATTAGTTCCCTTCTCCCACATGCCCAGTATTCCCTGTGGTTACCCAGTAAATGGATCTCAATAGTGCTAACTGGTCTCTTCATGATTACCCTGGAACGAAGGAGTCCTTGTAATACCTTTCTTCCTTTTGTCTCTGCAAACAACTCTCACAACCTTTTTCCTTCATCCTGACTTATAACCTCTTCAACTCAAAAAATTATTAGTTCATTCCAAACATCTTTCTCTGTGTACTATCACACTAGATGGATGTTCCTCAGCCTCCCCATCCACACACATCCTAGAGTGACTGGAAAGTTGTTGACTGTTAAGAATAGATTGTGTCATAGGAAATATAGGACTCCTTCACACAGAGCAGCCACTGGCCACACACTGTCAGTCCAAGCTAAAAGATATTTAAAGCACACCCCCCGCCCCCATATATGTCTGGTGCTTACTCCAGAAAAACAGCACGGAGAGCAGAATGCCAGGTCTAACTACAGGACCAGAGCAAAGTGCCTTCTGTGCCTAGGGTACCTCATCTATAAAGTAAAGGATAGAGGTACAGAATGCCTTGATTTTAAATCTTCCTGTTTCTACTTCTCAAAAGCTGGGGTTACAAGTCTTTACCACTACACTTGAATTAAGTGCTTACTCTTAAAAATAGTTTCTGGAACACATCTGGTATGAACACTAAATGGAAGCACACTAGCTGCTAAGGGAAGAGAGAGGATCTAGAAGCCAAGCAGAAGCTGATGTGTTCCCATGTGGAATGACCCTCTTAATCAGCTATAGAGAAATACAGATATTTTAAAGCTATTTTTGTGGTTTCAATTCATGGAAGCTCATTTGTCTTGTGTCAGTTGACTTCAATTTGTACAAACAAGACTCTGGCCAAGCTCAAAACATCTAGACTGGAGGCCCTCGTATTATCATTTACTCCACATTATGTTGTCCCTTGACAAAGCCATATCTGCTATCTCAATGTGGACCAAAGAATGGGAACATGAAGGAAATAAGGTCTTGGTGACACTGGCATATGCCAAGACTACACTTCTCACCCACAGATGGCCACATTATACCTTTGTATCTACACTCAACAAACAGCATCTTAATTGAGGCTTCCCCTAGGAAGGCCCCTGTACTCACCTCACCAGGGTCTGGTTGTGCAAGTCCCACACTGCGATGTTGCCATCACTGCAGCATGAGAAGCAGACCTTGGAGTCAGGGCTGATGGCCAGAGCGTAGCAGGCAGGGGCTGAGGATGTCAGCTCTGCCTTTATGCGGGGGGTTGGAGCTGCAAGGTCCCAGATGGATAGAGTACTGGCTTCCCCTCCCACTATGAGAGTACAACCATCAGGTAGCAATTTACAGGAACGGATGTAGTTATCTCTATTCTGTGAAATAACAGAATGTAATCACTGCAAAGCATTGCCAACTGACAATACTGGGTATTTTTAAATGCTGTTCGGGTTTTTAACTTCAAGAGAGACACTTTGTGGACACTCTGCTTAACACAGGGTCAAATTGCCATTCTCTTCTTCCAAAGAATAAACAAACTCACAGGGCTGCTCAGCTGTTTTCCTGACTCCCAACTACACAGACACACTGAAATCATCTAGGTGGAAAGCAGGTGTAAGTGTACTTCCCTGTCACCCCTCACCATCATTTACTGTTGGAATATGCAGACTCACAAAATCTGCCTTTGTTTTCATTTTTCCTGACACTGCCCAATGAGTACTAAGTACTTACTAAGAATTTAGTGGCTTGGCTTTATCAATATTAGTGTGGCTTTTGTTCTATGGAACTGTCTTGAACAAAAGGGCAAAAGAAATATAAAAGGTTATCAAAGTCAACAGAGATGGAGGAACAAAGGGTGCCATCAGTACAAGTATGCACTACCATAGCAAAACCACAACACACACATACATAAGAGAAACACAGAGAGACAGAGAGAGACAGACACAGAGAAAAACAGACAGACAGACAAGACAAGACAGAGAGACACATGCTTGCTAGGTATTTTTCTCTAGAAGGTCTGCCCTTCTGGTTTGTGAATAACATCTCCCCGATGTGTAGGCAGGGCAGCCCGTCCATAGTCTGCTGAAGACTAACATTACAGGTCTGGCAATCATAAGGCAAATGGGTGTCTTTAAGCTCTTGATGGGGTGGCTCAGTGTTTTAGGAGACAACTCTTTCTGTTCCCATCTTACTAAAACAATGACAGAACGGCAAACTATCTCCCCCACCTCCTCGACAATACCAAAATTTTGGAAGGGTTTTCATGTCATATTAGCAAATGTTGACATTTATCTGAAGTTTACAGGGAAATCTGCAGATGAGCAGATTGCAGGGATCAGAGTCCACATTAACTGCTTTTTTTTTTTCTACAGCATGGGACACTATCTTAGAAAACATGTCTCCAAAGTGAGCTCCAAACCACAGCAAAACATCTCCAAAAATAAACCTATCAACACTGGAATTTAACCAGTGTAGTAGCAGTAATGGAATCCTGCCCAGTTTGGGAAAGGGGCAGAAGCTTGAACAGCTAACATAGAAAACAGAGGGGCTTCTAGTCCTTCCTAATGGAAGTGAAGCTCAGGCCCCTCATGCTCGCTCACCAGACAATCCAGCTGAGAGACGGGGCTCTTGTTGCCAGGGTGGCTGATGTCCCAGACCTTAACGCAGCCCTTGCCACCTGTATACACGTGCCTTGTGGGGTTGCTGATGGTCACTGCACACACCACCTCCCCATGGTTGAGGGTGTTGATCTGCCGAGCATGTCGGGGGATCCCAGGTCCAATGAGGGCATCAGGGGGAAAGGGGACAGGCTGCATCTGGCCATCAGCAGTAACATGGAAGGAATATGCTCTACATGAAAGAAAAGAAAAGCATACGTATCACAAAGGGAGCCTTAGACTGGAGAATGGGAAAGGTGGAGCTTCCTTGCCATGGTTTCTCCTTCTGAAATCAAAACAAGTTGATGTATTTATGAATGGAAAACATTTAAAGTCTATATTCAAGCTACTATTTTAAAAATATCTAAGACACATAAAACTCTATTTAAAAACATAAAAATTGTTCATATAAATTTTACGAAGTATTCTCTCAAATCTCACTATTAAAAATTTTTTCTAAAGTAAATTAGTCTTCTACATACTTACATGATTCCTTAGTATAATTTAAAATACTTAAGATAAAGCCTTTAAAAACTCTAATCATAGGGCTGGAGAGATGTCTCAGAGGTTATGAGCACTGACTTCTCTTCCAAAGAGCCTGAGTTCAATTCCCTGCAACCACATGGTGACTCACAACCGTCTACAATGTGATTGGATGTCCTCTTTTGGCACTCAGGTGTACATGCAGACAGAGCACTCATATACATAAAATAAAAAAAAAGCAAATCTTAAAAAAAGAAAACTTAATCTTAAATAAAAACAAACAATGAGAAAGAGGCTGAAGGAAGATGTTAAGGGTATTGACTGCTCTTGCAGAGATCTTGAGTTCTATTTACAGCACCCAAATGGTGGCTCACAAACATTGGTAACTCTAGTTCTAGGGGATCCAACACCCCCTCTCTGCCTCCATGAACAAATATACCTGGTATTTTAACATATATGCATAAAAATACACATAAACATAAAATAATTTTTAAAAACTTTAAAAACAGCTTTTAAAACATTATATTAAGCTTTTGACTCAAACTTTTTTTGCATAGCCAAGAAAACATAAAAGAGTCTTGTATCAAGATGACAGAGACAATTTTTCTTTTTTACCTCAGAACCAACCCCAATTTTATCTGATGCAGACAAAGCAACCAACTGAAGGAACATCTCCCCAGTTCCATGCATGTTAGCCAGAGCAGCATATGCTGGACAATGAGAAGCAGAAAGAACTTGCTGAGAACACTTTCAATCTACTTGAAAGATGGGTAGGAGAGGGGAACATCTGCAAACTTTCTGCAAATTTTGCTGTGAACCTAAAACTTTCCAAAAAATTGAAGTTTCTAACATTTTTAAAAGTAAAGCAAAGGAAATGGGGACAGCTCAAGGCTGAGCCCTACCTAAGATGTGTAAGAGCAAAAGTTCAATCAAAACACTACAAAAAAGAAACCAGGTTCAGGCTATTACGAATAAAGCTGCTACAAACATGGTTGAGCAAATGTCCTTGTGTACTTGAGCATATTTTGGATATATGCCTAGGAGTGGTATAGCTGGATCTTGAGGAAGCGCTATTCCTTATCTCAGAAAGCCCCAGATTGATTTCCAAAGTGGTTGTACAAGTTTACATTCCCACCAGCAGTGGAGAAAGGTTTCCAATTCTCCACAACCTCTCCAGCATGTGTTGTCACTTGAGTTTTTAACCTTTGCCATTCTGGTGGTATAAGGTGGAATCTCAGAGTTGTTTTGATTTGCATCTCTCTGATGGCTAAGGACATTGATCATCTCTTTAGGTGTTTCTCTGCCATTCAATATTCCTCTACAGAGAATTCTCTGTTTAGCTCCATATCCCATTTTTTAATTGGATTGCTTGATTTATTGCTTTTTAACTTCTTTAGTTCTTTATATATTCTGGATATCAGCCCTCTGTCAGACATTGGGTTGGTAAAGATCCTTTCCCAGTCTGTAGGCTGTCGTTTTGTTCTGATGACAGTGTCTTTTGCTTTACAGAAGCTTTTCAGTTTCATGAGGTCCCATTTATTGATTGTTGCTCTAAGAGCCTGTGCTGTTGATGTTCTCTTCAGGAAGTTGTCTCCTGTGCCAATGAGTTCAAGGCTCATTCCCACTTTTTCTTCTAACCAATTTAGTGTGTCTGGTTTTATGTTGAGGTGTTTGATCCACTTGTACTTTAGTTTTGTGCAGGGTGATAAATATGGATCTATTTGCATTTTTTGACATGCAGACATCTATTTAGACCAGCACCATTTGTTGAAGATGCTGTCTTTTTTCCATTGAATGGTTTTGGCTTCTTTATCTAAAATCAAGTATTCATAGGTGTGTGGATTTATTTCTGGGTCTTCCATTCGGTTCCATTGATCTAATTTTCTGCTTCTATGCCAATACCATGCCGTTTTTATTACTATTGCTCTGTAGTACAGCTTGAGATCAGGGATGGAGATACCTCCAGATGATCTGTTGTTGTACAGGATCATTTTGGAAATTCTGGGTTTTTTTGTTTCTCCATATGAAGTTGACAAAAACTGTGGTATTTTTACACAGTGGAATACTACTCAGCAATTAAAAACAAGGAAATCATGAAATTTGCAGGCAAATGGTGGGATCTAGAAAATATCATCCTGAGTGAGGTATCCCAGGAGCAGAAAGACACACATGGTATACAGTCACTTATATAGTCCTGTAAGATAGGATAAATATAGTAAAATATGTGCACCTAAAGAAGATAAAGAAGAAGGAGGCCCCGGGGTAAGATGATCAATCCTCACTTAGAAAGACAAATGGAATGGACATGGGAAGTAGGAGAAAACAAGAAACAGGACAGGAGCCTACCACAGAGGGCCTCTGAAAGACTCTACCTAGCAGCGTATCAAAGCAAATGCTGAGACTCATAATCAAACCTTTGGCAGAATGCAGGGAATCATATGATAAAATGGGAGTTAATATGCCTGGGAGAGGACAGGAGCTCCACAAGGACAAAGTATATCAGGGCACAGAGGTCCTCTATGAGACTGTTTCTCCAACCAAGGACCATGTTTGGATATAACCTAGAACCCCTGCTTGGAGGTAGCCCATTGTAGCTCAGTACCCAAGTGCGTTTCCCTAGTAAGGGGAACAGGAACTAATTCTGACATAAACTCAAGGACTGGCTCCTTTACCTCCCACTGCCCCCGAGGGAGGGACAGCCTTACTAGGCCACAGAGAAGAACACTGCAGTCAGTACTGAAGATTCCTGATAAGCCAGGGTCAGTCAGATGGATGGGGAGGAGGACCTCCCCTAGCAGTGGACTTGGAAAAGGACAGGGAGGAGATAAGGGAGGGAGGGTGTGATTGGAAGGGAAAAAGAGAGGGGGTAATCTGTGATGGATATTAAAAAAATAAAAATTAAAAAAAAGAAACCAACCAACAAGCAAAGAAACAACAACAACAAAAATGCTTTTCCTTCTAACACCTACGTTGGACTGGACTTAGGAAGCCCTTCAGCCTACAAGCTGACTTTGAAGATGGAAAGCACCGGCAAAGAGAGGTAGAAGATGCTGCTGGGCTGACACCTTCCCTGGGTTTCATGAAAAGCAAGTGAAATTTCCATGTCATTTGTCTGCTGTTCTCTTCCCACTTCAGCAAAAATGAGCCTGATCCTAACCATGTACTTTTATTTCTTGCAACAAAAGTCAACACTATGTATCAAATTATCACTTGACTCCCAAGAGGTAGCACACAATGGGCATCACAAAATACACAGCAAAGATACTTTAAAGAATGGAAGACATGCAATGTTTTCACTCCCATCCCAGGCTGGCGAGTCCTGTTTCCTTCCTAGCTCAGACATACAGATGTAGTAGTTTAAGTCACTGAGCATAAACAAAGCCTGCAGGACTTTTCCATTCCTTCAACCTCCTTGTAAGAATGAGTCCTTTCTGGAACCTGTCCTTGACATTTTGACATATGTAAATACCATGAATACTAGCATAGCTCTTGAACTTTCATTTTGCTAATAACTCAATTTGCACAAAATAACTTGGCACAAAAATGAAAACTTATACTCAATATCAAGTCTCTATAAGACTGCACTTAAAATGCATACTGATCAGCATGGAAATAAAAAATAGGTTTCCCTCCATAGAAGCAAGATAACAAATAAATGAAGACATTGAATGTTTCCTTCCTTCATCCAAAGGAAAGATCTAACATGTCCATTATCTCCTGGAAAACTGCTTGTAACGGCCATTGGAAAGTGGCTGTTTATCACAAGCCATTAACGATGCTATTTTATCATGATTCCCGCAGTGACAGAGAAGAAATAATGTGTTTTAGTTTTGCTTCTTTCCCCATGCATTGTAGAGGACTGAATCCAGAGTCTTACATTATACATGCTAGGCAAGCTCTCTACTAATGAACTATATTAGATCTTTAGTCCTTTTTAAAAATCTTTGAGACAGAGTCCTACTATGTCATCCATGATGGCACTGAACTTTTCATCTTCTTGTTGAAGCTTCCTGAATGGCTAGGGTGGCAGGCATGTGTCAACAGGCCTAGCAATCACAGTAACTCAGTCTGAATAACTGGGCCTCAGAATGGGAACCACACCAAATTTTCTGGGAGATATATAATATATATGTGTATGTATCTCACATGCCTAAACCTTTACTTTCTTAATTCCCTAAATCACACAGTGAATATTTTTCAATCCTGAAAGACCCTTTGTATTCTTAGTAATATAAATGTATATGTATGTTACAGTTATTTGAATAGGTGCCCACCATACTTATTGTGGGATATCTGCAGTTTCAATCAAATAGTACTTTGTTGCCCTTTGAGAGAAAAAGTATCAGCACACAGAGGTTTGAGTCTGTTATTTCTGTCTTGTAAGAATTCTGGACTTTAAAAACAGTAGGGCAAAATCCAGTAGCAAGTTATGTAATAGGTCTGCCTCATTCTGTTGCTGTGGTAAAAAAGAAAAAAAAAACACAATAAATAACAAACAAACAAAAACCCCAACCAACCAAACAAACAAACAAAAAACAATCTCTGACAAAAAGCAACTCAGGGATAAAGGATTCACTTTGCAATTCAATGTTACAGTCCATTACTATGGGGAAGTCAAATCAAGACAAAAGCATCAAATCAAGTCAAAAGCAGAGAGAATAATCACATTAATCCAACCTCATTTGCTCACTCTCACTTCATTTTCTCTTA